CTGTGACATTTTAAGTAATGGGTTAAAGAATGTCCCTTTGATGGAGCTGTCCTGTAGAAAAGACTTAGTAGAGCCCTGAATCCTTTTGTAAATCGATCTTACTCACCATCTGGTCCCAGAACTATTGCTTGCTACACTTTCTGTTCTAGATTCGTTTTCACATGCTGCATTCAGCTGCTTTAAAATAGCACATCCTGCAGGATCTCTGCTAAGTCCTGTTAGCCCAGATGGTCAGAACTCCAGAGCAGCCATGCTGACAGGAGTTGTGTGCAGGGAAGATACTGCAGCACACTCCAAGTCTCCGCATCGCAGGAGATCCTGATGGAAGGAAAGGTTGACTGTCACAGTATGTATTTAGGGTCATCTCCCATTTATTTGCTGCACTTCTACCCTACCCATTCCCTGTCCTCCACCCCAGCATTACACATGGATTTCTCAATACCTGATCTTTTCAGGTATTTCCACCAAATGTTACATTTTTTGTTGGTTTCTGATTCCATATTTTTAAAAATAGATTTTTTACAGAGCAGTTTTAGGCTCATAACATCTGAATCCATTGTGAGCCTGATTTTCCTAATCTGCTCTGAATTGGAACCAAATAACTCTGATATGACTTTTTAAGTAAAAGCATGCTAGTAGGCAAAAACAGATTTTATTTTTTTAAAGATGACCGGTAAGGGGATCTTAACCTTTGACTTGGTGTTGTCAGCACTACACTCTCCCAAGTGAGCTAACCAGCCATCCCTATATAGGTATCTGAACCCATGACTTGGTGTTATCAGCACCACACTCTCCCAAGTGAGCCACTGGCCGGCCCTCAGATCTTGTTTTAAAGCTAAAATTAGTTCCATACCCCGCACTGGACTGAATGCTTATCAGGGGAGGGTCTTAAATCTGTCACCCATACATCCCCAGAGTTCACCAGGGCCTGGCACACAATGTTTGATGAATGCAGCAATGAATTATTATTCAAAGACTCATATTGCATAGCCTTCAAGAGAGTAGATTTCCTCTCATATACATATGATTTTCTTGAACTTTTCCTCTCTTGACCATCATAACACTGATAGTACAACAAAGAAGATAATAAACATCTAGAGACATTTTTGGTATGTCTGATACAAAAATCAGTATTACAATCCTTCTATCTAGGGAAATCTAATGATTTGATGTGGGATAATTCTGAATCAACTCAATACAAGTGGACTTTGGAACCACTCTGAGTGCCCTCCCATCTCCAGGAGTGCTGTTTTTTTAACCTTTCCCTTAATACTCCCACACTTTTATTCTCCACCAAAATTTGATGCCTCTGCTATTCAGAGAAATTAAGGCACAAAAGAAAATCAAGTACATCAAAGGTTCACCCTAAGTTCTTTATTCAATGAACTCCTAGTAACACCTACTGAGGGACCACTAAGGCATAAAACTTGAGCCCTGATTTTACATTTACAGTTCTCAAGAACAGGCTTTGAATTTACTTTGTTGTTAAGAGGAATTGGCATTAATTCTCAGGGAAAAAAAAGCTATTTTTATTTTATGGAACTCAACACGAAAGTTAACATTCACCTGCTAGGAAGGGTAAGTCCTCATAACTCTGTCTTTTTAGTTCAGCCACAGACTATACTAAGTTATCAAATCCAAAGGAGAAATTTGGCTTTTTGGTACTTGTGCTAGAGAATGGCAGAAAGCATAATCCGGTTAGAAATATCCTCTTATGATGCATTGCAGTGGGAAGTTTGAAATATGCAGTTCAATCATCCTGCTCACCCTCAGGTGAGCAAACAGGTGGTAAACAGGTAGGAAAAGGCAATCAGAATGCACTTCAACTCTCTGGGCCAGTTATTTGCAAGGCTGTTTGTTATACACATGGTGTGATAAAAGCCACCAGAAGTGAAGAATATGTCTGTAGATATAAAAATTGCTTGCTTTTTAATCTATGTAAAACTAACTTTGTCAATCACCATATCTATGTGATAGATCACATATGTGTATATATAGATATAGATATAGATATAGATATAAGCTGAAAAGTTAAACCAACTAAATTTTTATGGCTTTCACTAGAGTAGAATGCTGTATTAAGGGAAAAACAGGCAGACTCCATATTAACTGGTTATCATAAAATCAATGATGTAAAGTCTCATATTCCATTTCTATGTACCCTCTTGCTAGAAAAAAAATGCTTTGGGAAAAAAGACCCAGGGTTTTATCTCCCTTTAGTACATATGGAAAGGAGCTCTAGAAAGTGCTGTAGGATCCAAGTTTTAACACACACACACCATCTATCCAGCTTCCTTTGCCAAGAAAATGGTTATCTTTATATGTTAATAGCTTAAGCCCAAACTGTGGAATGAAGGCTATTGACTATCTGGAGGCCTGAACAGATACAACTGGAAATAGCTTTTTTTTTTTGGAAATAGCTCTTAGCATCAATGAGCAAAATCTATAGCCTATCTATAGCTGTCTGGTTACCAAGCACATCCTTCCACACAGAAACCAACAAGAGAAACGGCACAGGTTATACAGGAAAATCCTCTCCTTTCTTTGGTGAATAAACAGAGACCACCAGTGGAGGTAAGTGCTGACCACAGAACTGCCCCCTATTGCTTATGGTAAAGGAGCTGTCCAGTAAAGCTGCCCATTACTAATTATGGTTGGTTGTTATCAGTTCTGTTGGCAACCAGAGTAGTTCACAATGATTTGCTCTCATTCTTAGAAGTCAATTTATAACATCTGTACTTCTGGAGTTCTCAAAGTGTTAAATATTGAATAAAAACTGACAATGAAGGTTGACTACTGTAATATTCCTTAAATACCCTTCGTGTTCTAGAACTGATAAAATATTGAAAATCCTAACAATGTTGACAACTTAACTTTTATACAAACGATGAAAAGGAAATAAGATTTTAAAAATCAAAAGCGATAATATGTTGGAAAAAAAATGACAAAAAGGAACAAGGATATTTGGCAAGTGGGTTAAGCTCATTCAAAGTATTCCTAACAAGGATTCAAACCATCCTCTGCTACCAAAAAAAAAAAAAAAAAATTCCTAACAAGAATACGTGTACAACTATAGGCCTATTCAATTTCCTCCTAAAAATAAACATACAAACACATACATAAAAAGCTATTGTTATGAAATCTTTTCCAGACTGATTTTATGTATCCCATCTTGGACTGTTTCCGAACCTCCACGTTGTGAAAGTTCAATGACCATGCTGCTGAGCAGTGTGCCAAAGTTGCTCTGCTCACACAGAAAACTGTAAGGCCCATCTTCACACAGGTGGTCTTTTAGGAGGAGTTTATTGTCATTGATAAGAGTTCCCCACCCACCCCACCCCACAGCCCCAAAGATTTATAAACTTATAATACATTCCCAAACCACCACCCATAAAACAAATACAGGGCCACATTGCATTGCTACTAGATTTTTCTTCAGTCATAGCACCAACTACTTAATTACAATCACAGCTCTACGAGTTGGTTGACAGAAATCCTGTAAGTAGTTTCCTAGTGCATCTTACATCTTTGGTGTAGGGCAGGCAAAAGGGTCTACACAACACGTAATTGTCTAAAAGAACATCTTAAAGACAACCTGGCTAACCTATTCTGAGCGCCCTTTGGAAAGCGGTAAACTACAACTCCTCCGTCAACAATTTCCTAACTTCAGGAAGGATCATGATGAATCTATGTGACTTGCCATCACATCACTAACGTCCTGTAGCACACATACAAACATCATAGTGACGAGAAAGAAACAAGTTGGGATAGGGTAGAAGAGAAATGTCTCTAAAATATCAAAAACTCCTGAGATATGAGCCTCCATTTTGATTGTGCTCAATGATTTAAATTTTGGTGGAAAGAACAAGGTTTCAAAGAGTCTGACCTTAGACAAAATCATTTAACACTAATTTCAGAAATCACTCTCGAAACTTCTGTTTCAAACATGTTGCAAACTATAACTTGGAATCAGGAATTCTTTTCAATAAAACCAGGATTTCAGATTCCTTCTAGGTACCTAAGAGAGTTTATTTTCTAGGAAAGAATTATCTAAAACCTATCCAATAGGATTATTGCACAGTGGGGCCCACAGGACAATGATTTCCAAGGGCTAGTCCTTATATAAAAAAAGGCCACAATAAATACATCTATATATTATGCCCCACTCTAACTTGACATGGTAAACACAAATATAATGAATTTTGCTTAAAAAAGAAACTCCTGAGGAAAGAAAGAGATGGAAAACTCTACCAAGGCCACTTGAGTCAGAAACTGTAATTACTATTTCCACTGCCATGAAGGACAGTCAGCAAACAGACCGACCGTCCAAGAACCAAGATGAACCAGGGACAAGGTTATCACACTTCAGTATTTCACTCATCTCACAGCTCACACTGAGCTTTTAAAGAACTTCCTAGTACAGGATGAGTTTAGAAAGGAAATAAGCTGGCAAAAAACTCATTAGCTGAACTTAAATTCATTAAAGTCATTAAAAGTTGAGGTGTTATCAATGAGATGCTAACAAACCCAATCTCTAGTAAATTCCAGTGTTCAGGCCATTACTTTTCAATCACAGTTCTTGACATTTGCAAATGGAACTATGGTTATTTTTTTTCTTTTTTAATCTGGGTAGCACCATGTTTCACTCTAATGTTAATTCCCCACAACATTCAACCCAACTAATAAAAGATACTTGGCGATTCATGCAGCAGCCTGTGATGAACAAAGTAGTCCAAGTTTTAAATCCTCCCACCACTCACCCTATGAAAATGTCAAATCCTAAGCACACAAATAAAAACATACTACTTTATGTTATTCAATTATTCTTCAATTTCCTGTTATAAATCAATTAATCATAATACACAGAGCACTGGGTATAATTCCAAACACCAAACTACGTGGTCAAAAGTTTCTAAACTGACAACTGAGTCAACAAGCCAAACCTCGCCTACTGCACAGACACACAGCCATGGTGTGAAGTTGATCTGTGTTTTGCTGCATGGGTGGTGGGATTTCTCATGGCTTCTGCTTTTCAAAAGCATTCACTCTCATTCTAAAATGGTATGCTATACACAAAACCATCCATTTTATTCCAGAATACATTGTCTCAATGAGAATAAAAAGCTTTTGTACGCACATACTGCCAATACATTAAAAAAGGCCCAAATTTTAACAAGTAGAATAGACAAATTCACCAGACAAGAGATCATAAATGACTACTTTGGCCGAAAAAAAATCTTTAAAAAAAATCTGGCTCAACATTCTGCTTGCAGGTTTCTACATATACTGTATATGTGGTGAGTGTGCATATGTATTTAGAGAGAGCTTTTTTTTAAGGGAATGGAGTATGATCTAGTCCACTTTCCGATAGTTACGTAGGAACTACAATGTTCTTTGCCAGCAAAACAAGAAGTGCAAGGTCTGCATTTCCACCAACTTGATGCAAAGCCCCAAGAGCTTCCTGCAAAGTAAAGCCGGCACGGAGAATCCGGTCAATATCTGTAGCAGGAAAAATTAATCGTGGAAGAATGGAGGGACTTGATGATGGATGGCTGACAGGTGATTCAAATTCAAGAAATGGCCTTGCATCCTCAGGATAGACATTTTCTCTGATTTCAGGCCTGTCTGTTATTGGATTCTGTATGCACCGACCCAAGTCTTTAACCAATATGAAACTGGATGACAAAGACTTAGTTTGCTCAGAAGTCTGACTTAGTGCATCCTTCTCACCTGCTAAAATTCTGGGTGAAATTTCTACACCTAAGGTGCGGTGTAATTGATTAGACATTTTAGCTGAGGTTTTAGTGACAGAACTGCTCTCGCTTACTGATTCCCTAGATTTGGGGACACCTTCCTTATCAGTTGACAGGCAATCATCTGGACCCCTGCAGTTAATATTTTCTACATCTTCAATTCCAGTGCCAGGGAAAGTACCTGTTGATTTTTCTGTCTTCACTGATACAGATATGGCTTGATGAAACGAGACTTGTGGACACTGCTCATCCTGGGTAAAATGTTCATCTGGGGTCCATCTTTCAGAAAGGTCCTTACTACCTGTTTGGCTCTCAGTTACTGTTTCTGATTGACAAATAACTTCTTCAGATGTACTTTCTGAAGCTGGTTTACTACTAATAACCAAAAGTTCATGAAGTTCTTTCAAGGCTGCTGTTATAGATGAACAAGATTCTTCTGTTGACTCCACAGAGGACTGACAACTACCACTGAGACTTAAAGGTAGGGAGTAATTGCCATATTCTTTACTTGTTTCAGACCTTTCGACATTACTTTCTGGGGGCTGTAAATCCTGAGTGGAAATGGAATTACTCAAAATTTCAGATGAAAGGTTACATTTTGATGTTTCTACTTCCATCAAGGGATTATCTGAAGTGAGATTAGATGCACCAATGTTCCTGACATTGGCATTCTGATTGCCTGATGAATTAAGCACAGCAACTAGGGACTGTTCAACTATATCTATTTCCATAAGTGTTTCTGAATTCGAGCAGCCAAAGCATCCTGAAGGTAGAATACTTTTCTCTGTACTTGGAAGATCCACATTCTGCTGTAGTCTATCTTCTCCTTTCATCGTAACTTCCAAATCAATACTTTGTTGGTTCTGTTGCCTTTCTCCAGAAGGTTCAAGGTCTCCTATGTTACAAAGATGTTCTAGGTCACATGGAACATTGTTTTGTACAGCCTCATGCTGTTCATTCCCTGGTTCTTCATGCTGCTGAAGGCCATTCACTTGACTCAAGTTCTGATTTTCTGTATGCCCACCCTTTTCACTTAGAAACACCTCTGGTTCATGCACATTAGTAGTTGTGACAGATAAACTAGCTTCCTGCCTTGTGTGAAGAAGAAACTTGAGGCCCTGGGTGCTTCTTTCAGCAGATTTCTCCAGATTACCTGCAACAACTGCTTCTTCAAATGAATTCTGCAAAGGCATAGCTGGACTCTGGTCTGCTGAAGAAGCATGATCAAAAAGATCCTGTAGAGGAAGATGTTCTTTCTTTTTAGAATTTATCTGGAACTCAGCTGAAGCCTTCAAAGCCTTCACAGCGTTAGGTTTGATGCTATCTGGGTCACTGGGCTTGATAGGGCAGACTGAAGCAGAGACAGAGTGAGCAAGACTCATAGGATTACCAATCTCAGGACTCTGTCTTAAAGAATGGGCTGGATGGTTAAATCCATCTGAAGTTGGTAATGATGACATTCCCAGTGAGGTAGATTCTTTACCACTTTTCTCTATGTGGAACAAAGGGGAAAGAAAGATTAATTAGCACGTAACAAAGGCTACTAAATTATCAGAGGAGACAAATTTAAACAGGATAAAAAAAAATTAGGTCCTTAAACTTTGGTTTCTCTCATACTCACATTTTTTTTTTTTTGATTTAAAAAAAAACCAAGAATCTTTCTCATTGTGGTAGACAACTTAACATCACAGTATCAGAATAAGAGGTAGGCATGTTCTTAATAAAACATGCATATTGTAATTCAATATGCGTACCATTAACACGCATTCACATAAGGCTGGGTTAGTGCTCAGGGCTGAAGGACATTTATGTATCTTTTTTCCCAGTATGTCTAGAGTTCTAGAATAGTTTCTCCAAGTGTGTGTTCTCCACCACTAAAATCACCTGCGATGCTTGTTAAGCATACAGACTCTGAAGTACCGTCCTTGAGAGTAAAGCCAGGAATATGTGTTTTCAATAAACTCCTCAGGTGATTCTTAAGCACATTACAAATCTTCGGAATCTTTGCACTAGAATGATTCTCATGCCAGTGCACTTTTCATGTTTCAAATGTGAACACTGAATTTATAAATGAGAAGTCTAAAACCAGGTATACCTGGGACAAAATAAGAATTTATGTAATGCTCAGGGACTTCCAGAAGAGAGAGAAACAAACATTCTACCTATTTTATTTCTAGCCCAGCTTTACAAAAATCACTGTTTGAGCATCTAACTCAGAGAACAAAGGTAAAGCTAAAGATCAAACAGATTAAATCCCTATCATCATCCTATCAAATGATGCAGCTTAAAAAGATTACCAGTTATTTTTATTACATTAATAGAGTACAACTAAGTTAAGAACATTGAAGTACTTTAAGGGGAGGGGGAATGGGGGGCAATGGAGGAAGATAGTTCATAACAGTTTTTCAATAACTAAATTCATTGCAACTTAATGACCTCTCGAACAAGATGGCAGACTTAAACACTTGCTAAATGTAAACATCATGATGATATCATTAAACATCAGTTCCAACATTCCTTTGCCACTGATCCAGTTAAAAATTGGTTTCTATGCACTCACTCTAAGATCTTTAATAAAAGTCAAAAGGCTGGTAAAAATGACTTCACAATACAATCTATTAGGGCAGATGCAACTCGGATGCTTCATGCTGAATGTTAACACTCAATGTGAGGGCTTGATTTTGAATTAGGAAGTAATGCAGTTATGATTGAAACAGCTATAAATCATTCTAATCAAACACTGGTTAACAGCACGAGAAGATAAAGCACTATGTCAGGAAGCAATTAACTTATGAAACAATCTTACCTTACTATAGTTTAGAGGTAAACAGGAAAACAGTATTTGTCTCAGTTTAAACTATATCCATTAGAGTCTAGAAACAGTTATTAGTTTTATTTATCAATCCCTAAGGCTGACTTAGGGTCAATTCTGAACTAATGCTAACAGAAAAAATGCACTGTAATGAAATATCCATGTTAGCAACGTAGAGAGGTATGGTAATGGCCTTCTGGCACTGAAACGCCGGTTATAAACAACCAAATGAGGTCAAGGTGAACGCGGCCTCAATGGATTTTGTACTCACTATGAAAGCAACATATAGTCCTCATGCAGCTGAGATGGCAGTTTCACTGACCTAAGTCCTAAATGTGAGGAGGACTGGGTCAGCACTACAGGATGATAGGAGATAAGGATAATAGATATTAAGAATAATTAAATTATACCTGCTTTTATCCCATCCTTACAAGGAAAAAAAAAGAGAAAAAATAAATTAAATGCTATGTATCTAATTACAACCAGCCTGCAAACATCTATAAAGTCCTAGGTTGACAGTTTAAAATATCACCTTTCCTCCTCTTGATGAATCGGCCAATATACTCAGGCTGACATTTACCGTATTTATATCACAGGGAAATGGAAGCAGACTAACTCCCAGGGAAAATCTGTCAGGCCAGGGACAGAAGGAAAAGCAAAGTCTCAGCTTTTGTTGTTGGAAGATTAAAATATAAGTCCTGCCTATGTTATTGACTCTGTGACATAGTCAAGTCACCTGGCCTAAGTTCCTATTTCTTCTTCAAAGAATAAAAATTTCTGCCCCTCTATAACTCTAGGTAGTCATGTGCCATTATATGAAAAAAGAGCTTTCAGTTTTTCAGAGGAAAGAGATTACAAAATCCATAAAAGCAGTTACCTCCAATGACAAAGTGCTGTGATGCCAATATTCTTAATTTGATATTCATAATAGTCAGATGTGGTAGGTATGATGGACACTTTTTATTAGGATTTTTTTTCTCCCTTGGACTGTTCTAATAATTGATAAAATTTTAAACAGGAATTTATACTTATATATGTATGTATGCCAGCATACGAATGTACATACAGGCTAGTTGTAACCAGATTAAATAAGGTGCAATGGTGAATGACAGAGGCTAACTTCCAAAACTGCTGCAGATATAGAGACTTTCAGACCAAAGATGACAACTGGATGGAAGGCTTAAGGTGGTGTCTATAAATACCTGGTCTGGGGCCCACTCCAGCTGCAGTACACACACACTACATGCATCATGGCTTCTGACGCTCTGTTTGAATTAGGAAACAGACAAGCAAACTTGGGTTAACAATGCAAACCACACAGCATGCAGGGTTATAGTCTCCATTCCTTTGCCATCTTTAAAATCAGGAACTGGTAGAGTCAAAATTGGGGAATGTTTCTGTAGTTTGGACATCTAAAGGTTTGTTGGTTGTTTCAATTCTCTCACAAAACGTAAAGCAATGCGTCAATTTCAAAAGATTTTTAACAGAACTTGGAAAGAAATTAATTTTACAAATCTACACACAGAGAATCCATGGGCAAACACGTGAGACAGATGAAAAAATAGACCTATCAGATGGAATTACATGATAAGAAAATCTTCTAATAAAGTAAAGGTGAGTGAACATATATCTAACAGTCACTTTCCAAATTTCTTTCTCACTTGAGATTTACTTTTAGAAGAAAACAAACCAAACCTGATTAAATTCTATCCTGGTTTTATCTTCTTTACCTTTTAATCAGTTTTTAGAAAACACATCAGATATAGCTCCTACTCCGAATTATTTTTCAATTGATAGAAAAGATAAAGATACTTTGATATGAAGTATCTACCAAAGAAACAGCTTTTACCAAAATACTTTTACCTACTATGTCCAGAGTTTTGATTTTGATGATACTGGGAAGTCAATGTTCCAAACAAATAGGACCTAATGTTGCAGAATTATTTCACTATCTAAACATGACAAAAATTAGCACAAGCCATACATATCAGTAACAAAAGATTACATGAGTAAAAAGTCATTTCCTTTTAATCCTTTAAAATTGGTACATCTCCTTCACTAAGCCTGAAGACACCTGTCTGTGGCATCTATTTGAATCTCCTAAACTTTTTATTAAACTAAGGTAATTACTCAAAGACAATAACTGTTACTAGTAGGTTAGAAAACATTGCTATCAGCATTGCTATCATAAGCTAGTGTTTCCGAAATAATAGCACAAAGACTGTATTAAAAAAATTTTTTTTCGGGCCGGCCCGGTGGCGCACTGCTACAGTGTGCCGCTTGGGAGCGTGGTGGCGCTCCCGCTGAGGGTTCGGATCCCACATACAGACCGGTTCCCGCTCACTGGCTGAGCGAGGTGCGGGCGCAACACCGAGGGTTGCGATCCCGTTGCCGGTCCCGGTCCGGTACGGGCGCGACACTGAGGGTTGTGATCCGTTGCCGGACTTGAAAAAAGTCAAAAAGGAAAAAAAAAATTTTTTTTCGGGCCGGCCCGGTGGCGCACTGCTACAGTGTGCCGCTTGGGAGCGTGGTGGCGCTCCCGCTGAGGGTTCGGATCCCACATACAGACCGGTTCCCGCTCACTGGCTGAGCGAGGTGCGGGCGCAACACCGAGGGTTGCGATCCCGTTGCCGGTCCCGGTCCGGTACGGGCGCGACACTGAGGGTTGTGATCCGTTGCCGGACTTGAAAAAAGACAAAAAGGAAAAAAAAAATTTTTTTTTCATAAAATGACAATATATCCTCTTATTAATACATAGTACTACAACTAAGATGACAAATTACCCAAAAAATGAAAAACCTTGTTAAGTAGGTATGTCAAACTTATTCACGCTTACCTTACTGGGAAGATTAAAACTATTTAAGTTAAAAAAATAAATAAATGTACTACTCCAAAAGCAAAAAAAAAACCAAACTATTAAGGTAGGCTCTCCCTGTGGTGTTCAAAATTCTCCCCTTCCTACAAAATACGTAAGTCACAATCAGAACTGTATTTTATATGTAAAGTTGAGCCCAAAGGTGATGGAGTAGATTTTGAACAAGGCCAGCTTAGAAAACTCCATCTGTTATCCATACCTTTTCTAAACAGGCTCAAAGCTGAACATCTGAAGGGTTCTCCAGTAAAACAGTGGCACAACTTGACTGCTTTTTTTCTTTTAGTATTTTTATTTCATTTTATTTTCATTTTTTGGCTGCTTATTTTTAAAGCTCACATCTCTTGTCTTTATGAGAAAGCTATTTTTTGAACTTGTAACTCATACATTTTACTGTACTAGAAAAAGCGATATGTGATACTAGTCATACTGATGAATAATTCCAGCTTAAGACTATAAAATAACCCAAACTTAAAAGTTAATTCTTTTCAGCTTCTAGAAAATGCATCCCAGAGTCACTATTCTATAACAAATAAGCGATTTCAGCAAAACTGTGTTGCTCCATTTTACCCAGAAAACTTGGCTCTGTCTTTAGACGTAAACAGGTTCCAACAATTGAGACTTAGAAAATCTAAGTATTAAGGGGCTGGCCTATGGCTCATTTGGGAGAGTGTGGTGCTGATAACACCAAGGCCAAGGACTCGGATCCCTATATACGGATAGTTGGTTAGCTCACTTGGGAGAGCGTGGTGCTGACAACACCAAGTCAAGGGTTAAGATCCCCTTACCGGTCATCTTTTTAAAAAAAGAAACAAGTATTAAGTAACCCAATTTCAATATTTTGTATGTTGTAGGGCTGGCTGGATAGCTCAGCTGGTTAGACCATGGTGTCAGTAACACCAAGGTCAAGGATATGGATCCCCATACCAGCCAGCCATCTGGTATATATATATATATATATATATCCCCCCACCAAGGGAAAAAAAAAAAAATACACACACACACACACACACACACATTGCAACAGGCTGGTATGGGGATCCAAACCCATGACCTTGGGGTTATAAGGCTGCGCTCTAACCAAATGCACTAACTGGCCAGCCTCTGTATATATACTGTTCTAATATGACACCACTGTGACCTCAATAACAGCATAAAATACTATATTTTCATTAATGTTCAATTATGCTTCTTATTGTTGGTTCTTCTGTCTTTGGTGGCAGCACTTTCAGTAAATATTTTAAAAGTTAGGGCTGCTTAGTCACAGTGACAATGTTATCCTTCAAAATAAATGGGCCAGGGCTGGCCAGTTAGCTCAGTTGGTTAGAGTGCTGCCTTGTAATACCAAGGTCAGGAGTTTGGATCCCCGTATTACTGGCCAACCACCAAAAACAAAACAAAACAAAACACACAAAATAAAAGAGCCTAAGAAAAGGAAAGAAATTTTCAGAAAAATACCGCTAAATTCAAAAGTGAGTGTCTACTTACTTACTGTTATAACTTTGTTTAGTAAAAAAACAGGATTTTTTTTTAGAAAGCCTAACAAAAAGTTTAGGTTTCCTAAAAAATGTCTAAGCAAGGGCTGGCCCGTGACTCACTAGGGAGAGTGTGGTGCTGATAACACCAAGGCCAAGGGTTCAGATCCCTATATAGGGATGGCTGGTTAGCTCACTTGGGAGAGTGTGGTGCTGATAACACCAAGGCCAAGGGTTCAGATCCCTATATAGGGATGGCTGGTTAGCTCACTTGGGAGAGTGTGGTGCTGATAACACCAAGGCCAAGGGTTCAGATCCCTATATAGGGATGGCTGGTTAGCTCACTTGGGAGAGTGTGGTGCTGATAACACCAAGGCCAAGGGTTCAGATCCCTATATAGGGATGGCTGGTTAGCTCACTTGGGAGAGTGTGGTGCTGACAACACCAAGTCAAGGGTTTAGATCCCCTTACCGGTCATCTTAAAAAAAAAAAAAAAATGCCTAAGCAACTAACTCCCCAATCTAACTTGTACATAGAAATGGACTGTTGTTTCTTGATATGCTGGAACACAAAGTTTTCCTCATTGTATTAAGAGATGAGAGGAGGAGGTAAGAAGACAATGGACACACAACTACTACTGGACAATGAGACTGATTACACACTGGAAAGGTCCCTACCTCCTCTAACGCTCACACTTCCCTAGCTCACCCACCAATAACGCAAGTATTATTTAAGAGCTTGGCCATTCCAAATACCTGCATCCTCTGCTGATTTTTTAAGGGCTTCTACTAATTCTTGGTCTGCAATCTCCTCTGGCCGCATGTCTTCTCGCCCAGCCCCATATGCCAACCGGGCACACTCTGGTAGCTCTCCCTCAGGAAGGAAGGTGGTCTGTGAGCCTGTGGTGCCGATCACAAGCACATTTTTCTTGAGGTCGATGGAACACTTAGAGGAAAGAAACCAAAGAATGATAGCAAATAAAATGCCATGCAGAAAAATTATGATCATGACTTTAAACTCCTGAATGGAGCAACACTGACAGGGAAAGAGATGGTTCAAAAAACTTTATCTGAGAGTATTTACACTTTAATCTGGGTAATACTGTTAATTTAGAATTGTTTTTCAATATTCAGAGTTTATAACAGATTCTTTTAAAATTTTTTTTTATTTTAAAGATGACTGGTAAGGGGATCTTAACCCTTGACTTGGTGTTGTCAGCACCATGCTCTCCTAAGTGAGCTAACCAGCCATCCCTGTGTAGGGATCTGAACCCATGGCCTTGGTGTTATCAGCACCACACTCTCCCAAGTGAGCCACGGGCTGGCCCCTCAGAATAATCTTTATATAATATAGTTTACATTTATTTGTCTTTACAACATCTGTTCATCTCTGGTCATAAATTTAATACCATGTTCACTGTCCAAAATTTTGAAAAGGGCCAGGCATAATTAGCAGTCCCTGCTTTCAGAAACATACAATCAAGGTCAAGGGTTCCGAGATCCCCATCCCAGCCAGCCACTCCCCCCAAAGAAACATACAAATGACTTTTTCTTATAAAATTGAGACCATACTATTTATAAAGTTTTATATTTTGCTTCTTTTACTAATTATATAAAGTACAAGTTATATTTAAACTCTATGCCAATGTTCTTAAAAGTGTAGATGTGCCAGGCAATCTCTACAAAAGTATTATTTCCTACTCAGGCTATTCTCTTTTTCTGTGCATTTTTATAACTACTTAATATAGAACAATTGTACACACAGATGATTTATATCTATAAAGTTGGAGGCTGCTGGTCTACATCATGACTAAACAGGGAAAGAGAGTGACAAGTTAATAAATTATATTTTATTTATACATAGTCACTCAATCCTATTTAGAATGCTATATTTTATTATTAATACGAATTCTTTTATTTTTTGGCGGCTGGCCAGTATGGGGATCCGAACCCTTGACCTTGGTATTACAAGGAAGCACTGTAACCAACTCTAACCAGCCAGCCCAGCAAATTCTTTTACAGGAATTTAATATTAAGAAAAAAAAAGTAACATAAAAATCTTGACTAGATATGAAACCGTACTGTGAAAACTTTTTATTACGCAGTAGACAATAACTGCTTCTTCAATGAGGGGGATATATCTTAAATTATTAGGCTTCAGAGCAGAAATATGAATATCAACCACAAATTATTTGCAAATTGTTTTCCCTGTACTAAATAACAATTTTCATTCTCAACATCATATTATACCTTCCTTAGTCTCCAAGGTTTTTTTCCCAAGTACCTAAGAATTATTAAAGATTTACTAAACTTAGGGGCTAGCCGCTTAGTTCAGTTGCTTAGAGCGCAGCCCTTATAACGCACCAAGTTCAACCGGCCAGCTGCCATTAAAAAAAAAAAGTGTCCGATCACAAGATTTACTAAACTTACACTTACAGTAAATCACCAAAAAACTACTGGAGTTCTGATCAGAATCTTAAAATTATACAAAGGAACCAAACTTCCCATTATAATCACAAAGCAGGTGGCAAGATTTCAGATTCACAGAGATATTTCTGTTTATTTTTTGTATTTTCTATTTTTATTGATACATCATTTCCTTGCATGACAACATAATTAAGGACATTTCCATGTTTAAAGTCACACTTCTTTGTTTTGTAGTATAAGTAGCCAATAGAAATGATGCAATAATAACCATGTAACATACAAAGAGCAAATGCAAAAAGAAAAGTTAAGTTCTTTAATTACCTGATGCCGTTTAAGCATGTCCAGTCCCAGAAGCATGTCCATAGGCTGTTCCTCAAGAATAGAGAAGGAACATGCCAAAAAATCACCTTCAATTTGAACCTGAGCTAAAGCACAGGAAGAAGAGGAGGTTACTGATTGCTGTGGATTGACTGAATTGTGTCCCCAAAGTTCATATACTAGGAGTCTTAATTCCCACTGTAACTGTTGAGGGTGGGAAATCCTATTATGGTAACTGAAGGTGGGGCCTTGAAGAGGTGATTAGATTGTAGGACCATGCGTAGTGAATAAATTAAAAATGGTGGTCACAGATGTGGCTCTGAGAGCTTTAAAAGAAGAGCACATGACATGTTAGTCTCTCTCTACTCAGCCACTTTCTGCCATGTGAGACCCCCGGGTCACTGTCGCTATCACCAAGGCCTTCACCAAATGTGTTCCCTGGACTTTGGACTTCCCAGCCTCTAAAACTGTAAGCAATAAATTTCATTTTCTTACAGATTACCCAGTTCTGTGTTTTTTGTTCTACGCAACAGAAATGGACTATCACACTGATGTTTACTTCAAAAGCTCCAGACAAGCTCTGGAAATGTGCTTAGCATTCTGTGCTTTGCTTCCTGCCATCAATCAAAGCCTAGGCAAAGCATGCAAACAGGAGAGTTAAGTATAAAAATCTGGTAAGATCAATTAGTTTAAAAGCTAATGAAGGCACCAACTCATAAAGTGGATCAGGTAAAAATGCTATCCAGAATACCTGGCTTGACATTTGATGCCATTAATACACATGCTCAGCTGGTAAGGAAAGTAAAAAAGGATTTAAAAAAGAATAGGGCGAATTCCTCTAATATTAGCCACAACTTGCTTCCTGTACACTTACAAAAGATTTTCTAAAAGAGAAATAAAACCTGAACACCTTTAAGCTTTTCAATTAACCTCCCAAAAGAAAACTGTTTATGACTGCCTGCTATAATCAAGTTTCTATTTGCTAAACCAGAGACAATACCAAGGTCTAGGTTTGCTTGGAACCTCCCCACCTTGCTTTTCTTTAAATATTCAGATTAAAAAAAAAAACAAACTTTGTTATTATCAAACATATGTTATAAACAGAACTGTATGAAATATAGTATAATAAAGTACTTTTATTATACTATAAAGCACAATAAAATAAATTCCCATGTATCTATTTTTCAGGTTAAAACACACAAAGTCTACTGTATGCCCTCCTCATCCTGACTTATTCTTTGTCTCCTCCAACCTTCCCAACTATCCTGGTTTTTGTGTTAATCACTCTCAACTTTTCTTAGTTTTTACCAGTTTTGTGTATACTGCTAAGCAACATATTGTTTAGTTTTGTGTTTTTGAACTATGGCTTGCTTCTTTTACTCAAAAATTTCTTTGGGATATATCCTTATAGATGCATGTGACTATATTTCTCTCACTTTAAATCACCCCTTAGAGTACTACAGCATCTAATATATCACAATTGATTTATCCATTCTACTGCTACTGGACTTCTTGGGTCGCTTCATTTCCACTGTTATAAGCAATGGGATCATCACCATTCCTGTGCACATGAGTCTCTCTCAGGTCTATTCTAGAAAGTGCAATCACAGGGTTCTAGGGGATATTATGCTCAACTTTGTTGGGCAATGCTGAATTATCTTCCAAAATGTTTTCAGCAATGTACAAGAGTTCCCACTGCTCCATATTCTCACCAACGTGAACTCTCATCAACTGGATTTTAAATCTTTGCTAATCTGGCAAGTAATATTGCATTTCTCTGATTAATAATGAGGTGAAGCAAATTTTCATATATTTATTAACCATCTGGATTTCCTCTTCAAGTGCCTGTCCAAGTATTTTCATAAATTTGTATACTGTCTTTCTTATTGAGTTGAAGGGGACACACACCACGCCCCCATGCCTACTCACCCACATACACTCTGAATATGGGTCCTTTATTAGTTAGTTGTATGTGCTCCTAAAGTTATTTCCCAGTTTGCATTTATTCACTTTCTTTCTTCCTTTTCTTTTTTGGCAGCTGGCCGGTATGAGGATTCAAACCCTTAACCCTGGTGTTATAACACCGCGCTCTAACCAACTGAGCTAACCAGCTGGCCCCTCTTCACTTTCTTTCGATAAAAAGTTCTTCATCTCAGGCCGGCCCATGGCTCACTTGGGAGAGTGTGGTGCTGATAACACAAAGGCCATGGGTTTGGATCCCTATGCAGGGATGGCCGGTTAGCTCACTTGGGAGAGCGTGGTGCTGACAACACCAAGTCAAGGGTTAAGATCCCCTTACTGGTCATCTTTAAAAAAAAAAAAAAAAAAAAAATTCTTCATCTTGGTTCAGATCCCCATACTGGCCAGCTGCCAAAAAAATTTAAAAAAAAGCTCATCTTAACGTGGCCAAATATATCAAATTATTTCTTTAATATTTTTTAAAGGACTCCTTTCCTTTGCAATATATTCTTCTACATTTTCTCTTAAAAGCTTTGACTTTGCCTTTCACATCTAGGTCTTTAATCTGCCTTGAAATGACTTTTTGCATGTGGTATGAGGCAGGGTCCAATTACCAAATCAGTTCTCCACAAGGATACCGAATTGTCCCAGCAGCATTTCCTCAAACTTTCCTGTAAGACTTCCTCTCTCATTTATGAAGGTTCATAAAAGTGTGGGTCTGTTTATACAGATATCTTCCAAACAGTCTTGGTCTTTGGTCTTGATATCTAGAAGGGGAAGTTAGTCTAGACTGTCTTGACAACTCTGACAAGGGGCCCATACAAAATTTAAAATCAGCACATTGTCTCACCAAAAAAATCTACTAGGATTTTGATGGCACTACAATGACTCTGTAGATGAATGTGGGAGAATTACCACCTTCAACATACTACGTCTTCTAATCCATAATGTAGGTCTCTTTTCATTTAGATTTCCCTTATTGTTACAAGGTTTTCTTCATGCCTATCATAGCCAAAGTTGTAAAATGGTACACCTTGTCCATCCACAAGGAAGAACACAAGGGACTGGTACACATTTTGTCTCCTTCTATTATTTTTTCACTTAAAACCAGGAAAAATCTGAGAACTTAGCTTCCGAAGCAACCAGTTTGTGGTATTCCTGCCCAACACTCAAGTTTTACTGTGTTTAGGAAAGTATGAGAATAAGGTATCCAAAATACCCTTATGTTATGCAAATCAATAAAAGAAACACAAAGACCCTAATAAATAGACAAATATATTTCAAAAGAAAGGAAGAAAGAAGAGGGAAAATGGGTAGAAAAACTATCATTTGCAATGAAAGAAAAATAACTTACAATAAGAAACCACTTTTTATTTGCAAATTTAAGGGGAAAACTAAGAACAGTTAATAGTATAGGACATTAAGATGAATATTCATTCAGTGCTGGATAAACCAGATTGGTACAAGTTAGCAATATATCAAGAGCTTTAAATTATTCATAACTGTTGATTCAGTAGTTTCACTTACGAAAATCTCGACTAAGGAAAACAAATCAAAATGTGCACAAAACTACAGAAAAAAAACCAAACCTCACATCTTATAATGACAACATATCGGGGAGAAAACATATCTCAAAAGTTGCTCATTAAACCCATATAACAGAATGCTATGCATTTATTTAAATGATGCTTATGAAATTTAAAGTGGCACTTGGTAAATGCTATGAATGTTACTTTTTCTTAAAGCTGAGTATGACATTTTATACATTATATAACCATCTTTACAAGAAAAAAATGCACAGAAAAAAGACCAGAAGGAGATATACCCAAGTGATACTGGGTAGTTAATTCTCCCTAAAGCAATTTAAGGGATTTTAGCTTTTTCTCACATTTCTGTACTTTCAAAGTTCTCTACAATGAACATTAATTAAATAGATAAAGAAAACAAAAACAACAATCTTGGGCTGACTGGTTAGCTCATTTGGTTAGAGCACAGCCTTACAACCAACCCCAAGGTTACAGGTTTGAGCCCATACTGGCTAGCTGCAAAAAAAAAAAAAAAAAAAAAAAAAAAAATGTTTAGATACACGAATACTTACTATTGTGTTACACTTGCCTACAGTATTCAGTACAATAACATGCTGTGCAGATTTGTAGCCTAAGAGCAATAGGCTACACCATATAGTGTAGGTTTGTAGTAGGCTGTACCATCTAGGTTTGTGTAACTATGTGATGTTTGTATAACGTTGAAAGCACGTAACGATGCTAGAGTATGGTGTTCATAACACCAAGGTCAAGGGTTCAGATTCCCTTACCAGCCAGCTGCCAAAAATAAACTAAGTAAACAACAGTCTTGATTAGAGATGAAGGATTAAACACACACATTTATCTATTTTTACTCCTAAAAAATTATAATAAAGTTTTATGTTTTTTTCAAGGCACCAGTTCCCAAGGCTAAAATAGTGGAAGACAGAATAGAAACAAAATTTTGGAAATAAAAAGCAGATGACAATGAGGAAAACTGAGAAGCAACCCAATTTACATCACAGAACTCCTAACAGGCCTAGGAAATGGTCACAAGAACCTCTGCAATCAGGAGCAGAGGTGGGCCCAAAGCAGGAAGACTGGTTCCAAGTCTGCTTAGGCATAGTTAGACCTTGGGGTATCTCTCCCTGCACTCTTCTTGGCCAGGTGACCCTTCACCCTGGCAGCCGACTAGAGGCTTATTTTCTGGAGAAGGTGAAACAAAAGCTCTCTTAATAAAGGTGGGCATGGAAGAAGACAGGGACAAAACAATAAGCACCTGATTGAAAACCAGGGGAGTGAAAGTTTACTGAGACTCCAGCCTTTTTCTCCCTGCCAAATTCCAGACCTCCCTATAGTGGAGACCTCAAGTGCCATGGTTGCCCATCCAAGACACCTTCCAAACAGCTTTTTGGTGTCCCACTCTTTAATATGAACAGATGCCAAGGATCACCAGACATTTTTGAAAACCACCTAAAATAAAATACAAATAAATATAAAATGTGACAGAAAGGATGGAAGACAAACTTGAGGAAATCTCACAAAAAAATCAGAACACAATGAAAGAAAGAGAAGATAGGAAAATTAGAAGACAAGTCCAACATAGGAGATTATCCTATCTGAATAACAGACATTCCAGAGCAGAGGAAATCATCATCAGAATAATTCAAGGGGAAAAAAAAAAAAAAGGAATAATTCAAGGAAAGTTCCCAGACCTGAAGGACATAAATTTCCAGATTTAAAAGGTCATCAAGCACCCAGTACAGTAGATAAAAAGAGATCCACATCCAAGTACATTAGAAGATCTACAAGCTTCAAAAAAAAATCAAAACAAATCTTTCACATGAAGGTTCGAGAATCGGAATAGCACCCAGCTTCTCTACAGCAACATTAACAGTGAAAAGGTTAAGGGGCAAGCAAGGTGCCTCAAAATTGTGAAGCAAAATGATTTCCAAGCTAGCCAGACTGGTAGATTGTAAGAAAAAAAAGACATGTTCAGAGATTTAAGGTCTCAATTTACTCGCATGCACCTTTTCTCAGGAAGTTACTGGAAGATACACTCCAATAAACTGAGAAACAAGACAGAAAAGAGGAAGATATGAAATTCATGTAATTCAACACAAGACAGAGGAGAAAGGAATCTTCACAACAGCTGTGAAGCAGGCCTAGCTCAGAAAGAAGAATCTTTGATAGGATAAAATGTGTAGAATACTTGATTTGCCTGAACATGTTTAAAGGAGATTTACATAACTAGGGAAGTGTTTGGGGATAAACAGCACATAACAAACCAAGTGACCAAAAAAGGGCCAATTATTAATTCTGAGAAAAGAATTTACATAGTCATTTCAGTAAGCAGCAATATAAACATGTTATTCAGAAATATGGAGATAAATACCAAAAGAAATCAGCTAAAATAATTGAAAGGGATTATCTCTGAGAAGCAAGAAACAGATGTGTTTAGGAGACTAGCTTTTCTATAATCAGTAAAAACATATACACATATAACTTTGATAGAACATAGGATTTAAAATTCCTAGGAATTAGACTTGCTATATCTGATGTACCCAAATGCAAAAGAAATTAAAAAACAAACAAAACAAAACAAAACAAAACAAAAAAACACCCAAAACCTTAAAAATCCACTACCCTACAAATTCCCTACAAAGACACCAACTCTTCCAGGGCCTTTGGCTCACCTAGATGTACCCTTCCAATAATCTTCTGGGTGCCCACTCCTTTAGCAATCCCTGCCCACCGACGGTCCACCAGTCTCATTATATTACATCTTTCTGCACAAGACTGGCTCATAATAGTCATCTGGGCACCTGGAGGGGGAGAGAAACATCAGATAATGAAAATGAAATCCACATTTGTGGCAAGACTCAAAATACTGCCCTAATAACAAGGCAGAAAGCCACTATACCTCAAGATTTTGGTTTCTATAAAATCATTCCTACCTAGGTGGTGTCCTGTTCCACTTAATTCAACTTCTAGTTCCATACTAGAATCTAAAACATACTTGACATTGAGGTAAAGAATATTTTGTTGCAATGTAGTAATGAAATACTTTAAAACTTTACCAAGAAAATGCAAAACTACCTGGGAAGGACCTCCCAAAAGTTCAAATGATGACCACTATATCTACATATGGCAATGTCAAATCAAGCATGACTTTACACGAAGAGCAGTTTTCACTGAATATCTCTAAGCATTTTATCAAGTTATTTATTTATTTATTTTATGTGACCAGTAAGGGGATCGCAACCCTTGGCTTGGTGTCACCTGCACCACGCTCAGCCAGTGAGCGCACCGGCCATCCCTATATAGGATCCAAACCTGCGGTCTCGGCGCTCCCAGCGCCGCACTCTCCCAAGTGAGCCATGTGGCCGGCCCTTATCAAGTTATTTTTATTTCAAACTTTGGGACATTATAGTTCACAGGTTAAAAGACATATCCTGCAGTCTCCCCCCAAATTAGGAGTGGACTCCCCATATTCTGCTCCCTCAATTACACCCTCTTGCCCTTAAAGATGAGGGCATTTAGGGTGTTTTCTCTCCAGTTACATGTACTCAGCTGTAATCAACCTGTGTAGAAGACAAACACTTCTGTAATCTTTATCTACAGTTCTAATCTCTTTGTTAAACTCTAGTTCCACATTCCCATGTACTGGGCATTTCTATCTCAAAGTCAACAGGTATAAAACTCTCTCCCCAAATCATTCTCTTTGGATTTTTCTGTCTTATGACAATGGAATTGTTTTCACGCAGTCATAAACCTGAGCACGGTCACTTGAGTCCTTTCTTCTTAGCCTCTCTGCTCTCGAACTCTGTCCCAAACTTGTAAATGAGTTCTATAAAATTTCTGCTATTTCTGACCTTCCTTTTAACCTTAGCAATCAGGCTAGCTCACACCTTATCCCCATGCAAGTGAACAACTTTTCTGGCTTTCAAACAATGTCGTGGATGTATAATTTAAGGCAAAGAAACAGTTCTGATCCTTAGGGGTGCAGGATCCTAAAATATTACCTTCTTCAAATCACTTCTTCATCAGTTCAAAAGTCCTCAATGGTTTCTAATCTTTATAAAATTAGTTTCAAACCACATCACAATAGCTTCAGATCTCACCTCATCCAGGCCCCTGTTTATATCCAGCCTCATATTCTGACTACTCTAAACCTTCCACTTGGCAGGAGGAATGTGTCCCTCTGCCTCTCACTCACTTTGACCCTCCTGTAAAGTATCTCCTCCCCTGCTTTCACTTTCTCTGAATTCCACCTATGCTTTAAGGCCAGCTCAAGATCCACCTCCTCCCAAACTGACCGCCCTTTCCCAGTGATCTCATCTTTCATTCAATTCCAACACTTCCTGTTCATATTACTCATTACGTACCCTACACTTTATGGGCACTGAAAGCTCCTGGCATTTGAGAGGAAGGTTAGATTCAAGAAGGCCCAGAAATAATAAAGGGAAAGGGAACTTGGAAAGGCAACTGTCTCTTTTTTTCTTCCCTCCTTACTTTAATCCACAAAAGCTAGTTATTGCTGTAATGAAAGCAAGCAACCCAGGCTGAGAAGGGCCCTTTCACAGCTCTCCTGCCTTTTCTCAAGCTTTGGATCAAAGCCTCAAACCTTTTGCCCATGGAGGCAGCTCAGTTCAAATGCCCTCTCTTTTGAGAAGACACTCCTGAGCACCCCAGTCAGAGTGAGAATGTAGTCTCTATGTCCACCCAACATTCACCTGATTTTTGTAAGGTGCTTAAGAGTTCTAGCATCAAGCAGACCTGGGGCTGAATTCAAAGTTCACCATTCACAAACTCTGTACACCTGGAAGTGACCTCACCTCTCTACATCTAAGTTTCCCTGCCTGTAAAATAGGAGTATTAGTAGAACATAGCTCAGAGAGATGTCCTGAGGATGAAATATGATATATATTAAGCACCTAGCAAGGGCTTAATACATGTTGAATATTTTATCAGGGTCTCATACGTATTTGTCTCTCTCACTCATTCAGGAGCCTTCTAAAGTTCCAGTAAGTCTTACCCCTAAGAATTCAGCACAAGGCCCTGCACACAGCACTCAACAGACATTTTAAAACTGAATAATCAGCAGATTTACTTCTCCCAGGAAAGTATATGCATCTCAAGACACAAATTCTTTTTTTTTTTGATGTGAGACCTTTACTAGTTATTATTTATTTATTTATTTATTTTTAAACTTCTCAATATACATTGTAGTCGATTTTCATGACCCTTTATCCGTTCCTCTTCCCCCCTCCCTCTCTCAAGATACAAATTAACAACAGTGGAAAACTAGCGTGTACTTAAGTATTTGCTGATGAACAAATGGAAGAAAATATTATTTCAGCAGGGGCTTTTTCTACTCTAGGAACTCACCCTATCTTACAGCTTTTAATGAGATACCCAGAATTAAGATGCATAAGACCTCTCAGTCACACACCCACGCCGTGCTGCACAGTGTAGTCCTACTAAAAAGCAGAGTTGTTACTCACAGAAAAGGTGCCAGATAGTACATGGATTACCTGAACCCTCAAAAGGGAAACTCCCTGTCTCCTTACTTTGCTGTTAAGTTCTGTGAGGGCAAGAACCATTCCCTATACAGCCTTATACTCTTCACAGTTCCAGGCAAAGTGCTGGCACATAGAACAGGCTGAAATATGTTTGAACTATACTCTACATAACCCTTCTTCTAAATCTCCTTACTCCCAATTTCTTACAGAATGCCAGGTAATTCGGGATACTAAATAAGGAGAGGTAGGAAGATAAAGGAGACAGCCCAAAATACAAAACTGGTAAGAAATGATTAGAGAAATAAGCCTACTATCAACAAGAAGATTGGCAAGTGAAACAATAACTCCCAGGTTTGTTAGGTAGCAGTCCAAAGGACTACAGTCATCTGAACAGACACTAGAGTCTCCCCCTCTCCCATGTCAGGTCAGGATGTTGGAGGGAGAGACTGAGACACAAAAGACAGAGACGTCACCTGAGTCAACAAAGGCTTTCACGGGATGTCCATTCACTTTGCAGTTAATATAAAGCATCACTACTTGGCCAAAACTTTCCGGAGCCTCCTCCATAGCTATTGTCATGTTTTCTTCAATGTTCTGTTGCCTGCAACAAACCAAAACCAGGTACACCAAAACCATTATTCCCATGAAGAGAAACCAGTTTCAAAGTCACAATATTAAAAACAGATTTGTACATATCTTTTGCCCCAACTACAGCAGCTGAGTCACAGAAATGGAAACTGGTGCTCTATCCTGCAATAGGTGCTTTAGCAGGAGGTAGCAAGATACACAGGTGGCAGGGAGTCTAAAGACAGAAATTACCCTCATGTTAAACAATTATGCTCCCTTTACAAGCTCAGAAATAGAAAAATAAACCTCTGGAAAGCAAGAGTCACATGCCTTTTTATCCTGTAGAATATCAGAGTTTCATGAATGCTCCAATTTAAACTGAGGATTTACTGGGTATCTGGGTACATTTCCTATGCCTAGCACATTAAAAATAGTTTGCAAACAGAATATACAAACATTTCAACTGCTTCTACTGAACCTGCTGCTTCATCTCCAGGACTGAATTTTTTAATCTGTAAAATGAGAGTAATTCCTATCATAGGGCTGCTGAGAGGTATAAAGCACCTAGTATACAGTGCTAACATTAAGAGCAGATGCTTAAAAAATGCATCCATCTATCACTTAAAACTACATACGGTGTATCACAGTTCACTGGGTCTATCAAATCATTTCTTCAAAAATTCAACATGCCTAATTATTACATGAGAAAAGCACAGAAAAAGGAGTTCTAGCTGGGGCTGGCCAGTTAGCTCAGTTGGTTAGAACACAGCCTTGTAACACCAAGGTCAAGAGTTTGGATCTCCATACTGGCCAGCCCCCCTAAAAAAGGATTTATAGCTTCCAGCAACTCACATGTTCATTCCCAATCTCATTTTAAATACATTACCAACATTAATGGAAACCAGGTCAGTGGCTGGGCAACTTACCTGAAAACTGAGACAATAACAGAACAGGATCCAAGATTTGGGGTAAACTACACTATAAACCAGGGTTTGGCAAACTACAGCCCACCATCTGTTTGTGTAAATTAACTTTCATGGGAACACAGCAACACCACGCAGCTACATACTGTCTGACTGTCTATAGTTGCTTTCACATGGCAGTGGCACAGTTGAACAAGAGCAGCACAGATCGTACGGCCTGCAAAGCCTAAAATATTTACCATCTGGCCCCTTACAGAAAAAGTCTGCTGACCCTTGCTCTAAACTATAGTACCTGTCCTTTTTGTAATAATATTCTAGTTCAACTGAATTCATGATTTTATCATTCTGTAATAAAATTTAAACTTCTCAGAAAGTCAAAGGCACTCTCATTTAATTTAGCTGGGCAAATATCAATGTACATATACCCTGTGTAATCACTGGTATAGCATGCCAAATAAAATTTGAAGAAACTTGATATGGTAAATAGTTGTGGTAGGCTTTTAGAAAATGCAGCATTAAAGATAATAAAGCAGTTAAAAAACCCCCAAATTTTAAGAGACATTTGATATAATTATACAGCTTTTATCCTACTACACATTATTAAATCGAGAAATAACCAAATATTAACTGTGTACCCGAGCTTGCAATGACTTCAACCCAAATAAGTTTCAGTAAAAAAATCCTTTAAAGAGCTGGCCAGTTAGCTCAGTTGGTTAGAATGCAGTGTCATAACACCAAAGGGTTCAAATCCTATACTGACCAGCTGCCTTCTTTCCTCCCCCTCCAAATCCTTTGAGATAACACCAGTAGCTTTGGCTAGTCTGGGCTCTGTAGATTATCTCTTCAGAGGCACAAGGTTTTCTCCTTTATTTTATTAATATTATTATTATTACTTTTTTAAAGATGACCGGTAAGGGGATCTTAACCCTTGACTTGGTGTTGTTAACACCTCGCTCTCCCAAGTGAGCTAACTGGCCATCCCTATATAGGGATCCAAACCCGTGGCCCTGGTATTCTCTCTCCCAAGTGAGCCATGGGCTGGCCCCGAGTTTTTCTCCTTTAAAAGCATGCATGCATTACCCTATTCCCTTTATATCCCCCACCCCCTCCCCTGAGAAGAAACATAAGCCATATGGATATGCTTGTTTCATTTCTATTCTTCCGATAGCTCAGTATTATGGTTTGCCTATGATGCCCTCCGCCCCCACCCCGCTTTCTGGGTTGAATACAACTATTTTTGAAACTTATGTCAGTTCTCCCTTATAGCTGCAATGTGATCTAGTTCAAAGAACACACATATGTTCCTATTTCTCCGGGAAGATTTAATTAGTGAGATGTTTCTCAAAGGTATTCACTAATACCTGATACAATAAATGAGAAAACTTAAATCAACAAGAACACAAGTGATTGGCTTATGGTTGTCAACTGATCCTGGCACACAATTTACATTTCTTTGATTTCAAATGTAGTCAGAGAAATAAGAAATTAAAAAAAGCATTATGTGACTTCCAAGCTGACACCAAGTTAGGCTTCATGATAACCAAAGATGAGGAGGGGGATGGCTGGTTAGCTTAGTTAGTTACAGTGTTGATAACACCAAGGTTAAGGGTTCAGATCTCCCTACTGCCAGATGCCAAAAAAAAAAAAAAAAAAAAAAAAAAAGTGGCCAAAGATGTTAACACAGCCCCTAAAAGGCTACTCCATGTAAACGTAGTATTGTTGCAATTACGTTTTTACTTATAGAAAGGCCTTCACAATCACCAACAAAAACTGAATCTGGGGGCCAAAAAAGCAGCTGTCTTATTCAAAAGGAATAACTGAACAGCATCTTGTTTGTGATATGTCTGAGGCCGGCATTAGTATTATTGCTCAGGCTCCACACCTGAAGATTCTGATCCATCAGATTCTTTCAGGAGAAGAGCTCAAGCATCTGCACTTTTAAAAGCTTCTCATGTAATTTTAATGCAGCCCCAGGTGAAAACCACTCACTGAATTACAGAATTTGGAGCTGTCAGTTTATCCACTTAGGCCAGTACAAGAACTACAGAAGGAAAAGAGATTTAGGACTACAAGTCCCATTTGTGCAGAGCTGTCTCTCTAATCCAATCATGTTCTAGCCCTGGATTTAATGAGAATTCACACAATATGTCTAAGGAAAGAGATTCAAATCAGCCTGTGTAACCAGCCTAGATGTCTCACCAGATGGGGGCTTCTGTTTGGTACTGGGCTCGTCTACCTGGAGCTGCTTTAATAATGTCTGCTAGTCAGGGACTCATCATTAAAATTTTAGGAGAAGAGAAAGTCATTAAGTTAGGCAGCTGTATCTTTGTAATGCTGAATCAAATTGTGAGAAAAAAGTAAGAGGAAAGAATAACCTAAAAGTCTGAGGTTACTAGTTCAACTGCAAAATGAGAAAGCTACCTTCAAGCAGCTGCCTAACTAATGCCAGACGACCTGCAGTTTAGGAAATCTGGAGTCTCTGAGTCTTGCTCTTCAGGCAAATAGCTCATTACCTTATATCTTCTTCTATCTTTGCCTGAGCTTCAAGGTCAAAGGGGTCAGCAGAAAAGAGACGAATTCTTTCTTGCTCTCTCCGGGCTCGGTCCTGCTGCTGCTCCACAAGGACCCTAGAAAATTTCTCTACAAAAATAACAGAGGAAAATCATAAGTAACACTATATTTTCATTACTTTATCAGTACTTTTCCACAGTGAGCAATTTCTCAAAATATAATTGTAATAGATGCAGAGAGGATGGCTAAATATCATCTGAAGGTTAGCCAGAGTTAGCTCAGTTGGTTAGACTGCGGTGTTACCACACCAAGGTCAAGGGGTGGATCCCTGTACTGGCCAGCGGCCAAAAAATAAAAATAAATTAAAAAAAATAAAAATTAAAAATAAAAATTATTTGAAATGAGCAATTACATTCACTTTCTATTCTCTGAGGCAAGACTATTTCTATTTATACTATTCACTGTAAAGAAACAAAGTATTCACAAAAATCTTTTATTCTCATAAGAAGTTACCAGCCAGCCACCAAAAAAAGAAAAAAAAAAAAGTTACCCATCACTGTTTCTACTCAGAGATAACAACTTTCCAATTTAAATCAGCAAGGAATGACTATCTGTGTGGTAGATAAATGTCCCCACTCTTCCCTTCCCCATTGCCCTCATTATCCTACTACCTAGAAACAAAATAGAGTGCTACATAACCCCCTTTTCTTACTAGTTTCATTTTCTTTGTAACACTCTCTGCCTTAAACCAGATAAAGTAAGTGCAAACTACTGTTAGTCTACCTATATTTTGTGTGTCCTGATTGACAATAGGCAGGAAAATTACTAAGGAGAAAACACTACAAGACTTATGTTACAATAAGAATCTATTTTGCTATTTCTTAAATCATGGTGCTTTTTCTGCGGGGGAGGACAGGGGCAGCTGACCAGTACAGGGATCCGAACCCTTGACCTTGGTGTTATAACACCACACTCTAACCAACTGACCCAACCAGCCAGCCCTGGTGGTGCATTTAAATGTGTAAACTTAAATGTACCATTATCATGGTCTTGGCAATTAGATGTGCTGACATAAGAAATTAAAGTAACCAAGACAATGATCATATGAACTATGAATACATACAACATGGATGGATCTAAAAAACATTAAGTGAAAGGAGCCTAACACAAAAGAGGACGGACTCCATGATTCCTTATACATGAAGTTCAAAAACAGGCAAATCTAATCTATAATATTATCAAAACAGTGGCAGCCTATGAAGGGAAGAAACTGATTAGAAGGGAACACACTGGAACTTTCTGAGGGAAATATTCTGTATCGTGATTGGGATTACATGAGTTTGTCAAAACTCAATGAATTGTATACTTAAAATATGATACTCTGAATTGTATACTTAAAATCTTTGTAAATGTTACTTCAATTTAAAAAACAGTCAATTGAAGAATGAGTTATTATGTGTTTGTTACATTTTAAAATTTAATCAGTAAAGCTTCATAAACCCAAGAATATGGGAGAAATTTACAGAGAAAATTATTCATAAAGATAACTAAAAGTAAATGTTTTAATTTTAAAAAATCACTCAAATAGAGCTCCAAATAAACTTCTGGCAGCAACCCTGCTACCACCTGAACTTGGGGTGAATTGGGATAAGTGAGTTCCATTCTGCCGTACTGGCTGATGGCACTGGACCTATTTCCTTAGCATTTCAGCTGGGATGAGCTGGCTTTTTGGTGCTCTCTTTAATTGAAGATCTAATTAAATAGATCGAAATATCAGTACCTGGCGTATGTGCAGCTAAAAACAATGAGAAAAAAAAGTAAACAGAGGGGTCGGTCTAGATGGATTTCAGTCCTAAAATTCTATCCCTAATGCCAGTTAACTCAGCCTTTTACATTAGCACTAATATACCACTCCCAGACAACTGACTGAAATGTTCAAAAAATCATGTGACAAAGTGGGTTGAATGTACCAGTTGCTTGAGTCTCTTCGCATTTGCTGTGACACAACTATTTCACCTCAGGTCAGCTTGACAGCCTTCCAAATTTATAAGCTTACCAAGATCGCCACTGAGCAGAGCTTCTGCCAGGGGTGGATTGCGTTCCTTAAGCAAGGACAGCTCATGCGGGTTGTTCAGCAACATGTCTCGGAGCAAGGCTGGATCGTCCAAGCCCTGAGGAGATGAGGCTTTTTCTCCAGGGGATGAGTGCGACTTCTGTGCTCCTGCTTGCTGGCGCTGCCGGGAGTTTGAGGTGCCAGGCACAGCTATACTACTAAAGTCTATCCGGGGTAAATCTGTTGGGAAAAATCAATTCAAAGTTTACTCATATGATTCCTAAAAACAAGTATTTTAAGGAAACAGCAGAAGACGTGCTCACACATCATATGTAATACTAGCAAATGGTAATCGTAGACCTCTATTGCCTCTTCCTCTGCTCTTTCTCACGCCCACTCTGAATATGAAGACTGCAGTCTGAGAGTGATTGATAGGAAAGAACAGAAGGCGGGGCATGCAATAGTAGCAACCCCAAATTTTGGCTTATAAAACACTCCAGAATTAAATTTTTATTTACTATGTTTTTTAAAAAATTAAAGCTAGTCTCAATAAATGTAAATGCATAAATCTGGATGTTGTTCTTTTTTTGGGGTGTGGGGGGCAGCTGGCTGGTACAGGTATTGGACCCTGGACCTTGGAGGATGTGGTTCTCAAGAAAAATCCTATGTGGCTTGACACATGCTTCAAAGAACCCTGACACTTGGGGTAAAGAATACCATACATATCAAGTGAACAGCATAAAAGTCATGTTAAATTCCACAAGTCTGAGCTAAACATATTTGCTAAGGGAGGTTCTTAGTAGTTCTTTTAATGTACCGTTTCATCCAGGCATCACTGCTGACTATTCTCATGCCCCGGGGGAGCTAAGCGGGTGTTCATCTTACAGAACAGAAAAACAGAAGAAAAGGGATTTGCACAAGTTCTCAGTGCTGAATACACCAAAAGCTATCACAGGTTTAGAAGCTACAACTCCCAGGTTCTATATTCCAGGCTGAGCTGACCTTATTAAAGTGAAAGGAAAATAAAAAGGAGCTTTAATCCTTATACAAAAGACCTACTCTATTTATATGACATGTCCAGAATAGGAAAATATATAGAGACAGAAAGCAGACTTGTCGTTCTAGGGAGCTTAGAGGAAAATGGGGAATGACTGCTAATGGGTACAGGGTTTCTTTTAAAGTGGATGAAAATGTGCTAAAATTGATTGTGGTGATGGTTACACAAATCTGTGAACAAACTAAAAACCACTGAATAGTACTCTTTAAATGGGTCAACTGTATGGTATGTGAATTACATCTCAATAAAGCTGTTATTTATTTATTTACTTATTTACTTACTTTCTTTACTTTTATATATATATATATATATCCCTATATGAAGATGACCGGTAAGGGGATCTTAACCCTTGACTTGGTGTTGTCAGCACCACGCTCTCCCAAGTGAGCTAACCAGCCATCCCTATATAGGGATCTGAACCCGTAGCCTTGGTGTTATCAGCACCACACTCTCCCAAGTGAGCCACAGGCTGGTCCCTAAAGCTGTTATTTAAAAAGAAAAAGATGGGCCGGCCCGGTGGCGCACTGGATAGTGCGCCGCTTGGGAAGCGCGGCGGCGCTCCCGTCCGAGGGTTC